AGTAAATAGCATGTGAGTTATTTTAGTTTACATACAGCTTTTACATTTTTCAACCATCTCAATGTCATATGTAGGAATTAAATCTAAATTAACCATGTCATTCATTTTCCTAGTATTAACACGTCTTAAACGTGAATGCCATAAAAGAAAGAGAATCAACAATATAAACAGAAACTTGTGTATTATTATTAATATTGAGTTTGAACATGCCTTGATACAAATAACCCTTCCCAACAAAAATTCCACCCATAGACAGGACAAATTTGTTCGACTCAAAGACTAACTTGAAGCCATGCCTATTTAGCAGGCCTCCAGATACAAGATTTTTCCTGACATCAGGTACATGATACACATCACTAAGCATCAAAACTTTTCCTGAAGTGAACTCCAGATCCACCTTTCTGTTGCCCTTAATAGCAGCAGTTGAAGAGTTCCCCATGTAGAGAACTGTTCCATCTCTCACTGGTTCATAAGTGGTGAAGAGGTTCTTGTCGTTGCAGGTACATGTCTTATCGCTTCTGAGTCGATCCACCAGCCTCTAGCATTCTAGACCATGTTTGGTTTCTTCTTGCATGACCAACATTCATTCTTAAAATGTCTAGGCTTGCCAAAATGCCAACAAGCGCCTTTGATCTTCTTAAAGTCCTTGTTGGATTGAGATCTATTGTGCTTGTACTTCCCTTTGTTGGATCTATTGCCATCATCCACCATGTGGACCTTGGAACCTTGAGTCCTTTGATTATCCTTACTTTCAAGAACTCTTGACTTTTCCTCTACATGGAGGTGTTGAGCCAATTCTTCCAAAGTAAGATCTTCCTTCTTGTGTTTTAGGCTTTTCTTATAATCTTTCCAATAAGATGGCAAGTTTTCTATTATAGAAGATACAACAATAGACTCATCCATATTAATTTTCTTTTGTTGAAATTGACTAAGAATATGTTGTATCTCATGCAACTGTTCCATGATGGGTTTATGATCTACCATAACATAATGCATAAAATTACTAACAAGAAATTTCTTACTGGTAGCATCTTTGTGAGATACTTGGATTGCAATGTGTCCCATAGTTCTTTCGTAGTCTCTATATGTTATACACATCGAACAGTGAGTCCTATAGCGCATTCAGAATGTGTCCCTTGCAGATGTAGTCATTATTTTCCCACTTAGTCCTAGTCCGAGTCTGGGCCACCGTCTCGTCCTCTTGTTCCTCTAGATATGGCTTAGTCAGTACATAGACCACGTTGATAATGGTTATGAGGAAATGAAGCTTCTTTTGCCAGCATAAAAAATTTCCTCCATCGAACCGATCCAACTTCATAAAATCTTGAGTCATGTGTTGGAGTGATCTCACCATAATATTGTCTGTATATTGTTGGAACTTTGAGATGTTGTGATCGTCCGATTCTTCAAGAACCTCCTTCCAGATGATTGCATTCTGATAACAAAATTTATGCTTGAAGTTGCGTTACGATGTCGCTTTCCTAAAGACAATATTTGCCCCCACCAAATGGTGTGTATCGAGTTAACAGCAAATCTGCCTCTAGGATACAATAAAGCCTGATCTACAGATCAATCTATCTACAGCTACATAGACGAAGATAGACCAGAATACTCTTGATATAATGAAGAAAACCAAGACACTGATATTCAAATTAGTAAGAAATGAATATCAAAAAATTAGCAGAAATAGAAAGCTAATTTTAGAGAGAGAGAGAGAGAGATTGAATTGCAGAGAAGAAAATCTAAATTTTGGGATGAATGAATATGGCTGAATCACAGCCAATTTATAGGCTTGGATGCACCTGATCAGAAGGGTCATGTCCCTTGATTGCATTTCATCAGCTATGGAGCATATTTGACCATTGGATCGAACTCTAACAGTGTAGATCTCTCCTTACACCAATAGGTGCAATGACTAGACACACCCCGTCACGATCGGACACCATTTGGAACATCCGATTGCGCACATTAGACGCACGACTATTTGATTAGATGGCTTGGTTCACCAACTGATCTGCCACGTGTGAAGCTAACTATGATCCACCTGATTCCTGCCACCTCACCGCCACACGAACGCCACATTGCACCACTGCCCATGCCACGCGCACTCGTGTTGATGGTGTGAAGCACCATCCTTGCAGTGTGTGCAATGCACACAAGCATTTTCCCCGCAATTGCATATTCAAATGAATATTCCCTACAGCTCTTTATTAGGTGCTTCACTTCTTCTCCTCTTTCCTATGTGGGACAAGTTCCCATAGCTTGTTTCTACTTTCTTAAGGAAAACTAGGAAGGTTTTGAAATCCCAAAAAATCTTTTATTAATTTTAGAAAATTCCCCATGCATAAAGGAGGAGGACTTATATGCAAGAAAAATTAAAATTACAACGATTAGAATTAGGATGTCAACTAACACATTTGTGATGAGTGAATTATTTATTAACTAAAACATAGATCTTTATTAATATGTTATCACTTGCGTGAGTCTTATTTCTTGTGTATTTATTAGGGTTTCTCTCTCCCACTTTGAAAGTTTCTTTGTATTAATTATGTGTTGTATTGAATTTAATCTTTATTTTTATAATTATAATTCATCAGGTTTCATTGTAATATCATATTTATGAATGAAAATAAAAAAATAAATTAATAAATGTTTCAAATGGCTTTCTTTACTTGGGTATTAAATAAATTTAGAAATAATTTTTCAAAATATCTAGGTACCCAGAATGGGTACCAGAAATTGACCCAGATTTTTGGGTGTGTGATGGAGATTAAATAATGTATTGTATGGTCTACACATAGAATAAATTTGGACATGACCCTTTGCAAAAACTATTTAATTTTCTCATGTAAAATCTGGAGTTAACTTAATTTGACTAACTTAGATAACTGAACTTCCTATTTTGAACATAAAATTTCCAACACCCACATGATGGCCGATCTATAGCCTATGCTTTGATATCAAAAGGTAACACCCCGAAACTAGGGGTTTTATAAATTAAAAAGTAAATGACAATAAGGACATTTTCCAAGAAAATATTACACATTTACCTTAATTCCAAAATAAAGGTCTTTTCGAATAGGTACAATAGAACTGCTAGCCTTCCCCAAATAATAAAATAAATAAATAATATCAGCTGAAAACAAACCCCATCCGGTTCTAGCTGCAACTGAACTAGAAACAGAAACAAAAAAAAACCCCACCCATTTGGGGCTTGTGGTTTGTGTAGGAAGCTTACATTATATGGTTTGTGTGGAAAGCTTACACTATAATTTATTTATTTTTAGATGTAGAATACAACTTATGAAAACTTAATCTAATAGAGATATGTATTTAATAGGTCTTAGAAATTAGAATTGTTGGTGGAGTTGGTTGAATATTGGTATAATATATCCCTTCACACCAAGGCAAGTAGTCATATGCTCCTGTACATGTATAAACTTACACAGATATTATTAAATTGAAACCACGCTAGTTTTTATTGGTAACAACATAACCAACCAAGCAAAACATTATATATATATATATATATTGTGGGAGCCGAATAATCACAATGGTTGACGGACCAATAGGCCTATTTGGGAGAAGGGGGCCGTAGACAAGTCGGCTAAAAAATGGACAACATGGCTATTTTCTAGGCCCAACCAACGTGAGATGGGCCGGCTATAAGTCGGCCTTTGAAAGGCATATCTTGGAAGAACCTCGCTGAATATACTAAGATGGTCGAGTAAGTTGAATAGCCCATAGGCCATATGGGGGCCCAATAATGAGATCAAGATGTCTAAAAGGAGGAGGATCGATCAAAGGGAAGTATGTGAAAAATAGTATGTAACTTGTGAAAAAAGTAAGATCAAGCAAAAGTCTAACTTGCTCGTCGGAGTGTGGACTCTGGTACCTCCGACTGGAGTGTTTGTTCTTATTTCAGGTATCGTCTCAAGGATCAAGAAGGGCTATTTAGATCTGAGAGAGTATTTCCAAACCCACTTCACCACAATTGGTGTCGTCTATGCGAATACTCAAGCTCATCTATGACAGACACAACAATTGATCCTTTGCTCATTAAGGATGGTGTTACACCTAGGGCAATGCTTGGTCTGGAAAATACCACCGCACGAAGATCTTTGAACTTTGATCCAATAGCTCCTTCCTTGCCTGCAACCATAGTGCAAGAAACCATGCAGACAATGATAGACCAAGCAAAACAAAATGAACAACAGTTGGAAGATATGGTGGCTAATAATGAACGATTATGTAAAGAACTGACACAGGAGTTAGCAAAGTCCCAATAGCCTGCACCGTCTCATGACCAGGGCTGGTCACCAAAAAAGAAGAGTAATCAAAGGCATCAGCCTCGGAGACAAGAAAGCAATAACACTTTCGATTCACCATCACAAGAGCCTAGGAAAAAGGGGTGAGCTAACACCTCTAGCTCATCTGATGGGAGTCCATATGTGCGGCATAGGAGAGTAAGAGGAGATGACGCTTCGGATGTTGAGGACAGGCATGATCCCTTCATGCGGTGTATTGCGAAAGTTGTTTTGCCAAATAAGTTCAAATCACCGACGTTTACTCTGTATGATGGCAAATCAGATCCTACTAACCACATTCGTCATTACAAGCAGGCTATGACACCACATGCCGATGATGAAGCACTTATGTGCTGGATGTTCCCTGGTAGCTTGTGACCGTTAGCCGTTAGATGGTACTATAAACTTGAACCAGCCTCAGTAAAAAGTTTCCGTCAGCTCCAGAAATCTTTCAAGGCGAGATTCATCACTAATGAGACTCAGCCAAAGCAAGCCGACTCACTCTCAGCAATGCAAATCAAGCCGAATGAGACCCTCCGTGAATATTTGGTGCGCTAGTGGGAGTGCTTTAATTTGGTGGACGATGATTGCAATGATTCCGTCACCATCACCGCTTTTAAGATGAAATTACACCTCGACAGTCCCCTTAGAAGTTTGTTGACTAGACGGACTCCCAAGATAGTCTAGGCCATAATGAAGAAGGTTGAGGAATATTGCAAGGTAGAGGATGATGCTCTCCATGTCAAAGTCGGACAAAAAGACCTGGAAACGGTGACACCTGCCCTGGTATAGTCGATAAGTATTGCACCACCAGAAAAGAACCCTGAGCCGAGAAGTCAAAGAAAATAAGAAAATTGCCGAGACTCACGCCGATCAAGTGAACAGTATTCACAATGATCGAACGAGCAATATCAAGTGCAGAGTAAACGTCCTAGGTGATCGGACAAGAAATATACGGAGTTGGCCGAGCCGATCAGCAAGATCTTGCCTAAGGTTCAGCATTTACCTTCTTTAAGTGGCCGGCCAAGATAATCGGGCCTTTTGATATAATACGGAGGGATCGACGACGCGAATACCACAAGGATCATGGGCATGAGATCGACAGATGTTACGCTCTGAAGGACCATCTAAAGGAGCTGGTACAAGATGGCCGATTGGCCCAGCATCTCCCCCAAAAGGGCAATCCACCAAACATAATGGCTCTACGACCGGGTTCACCTCCACTTGGGGTGATTCATATAATATACAGTCTTTTGCCGCCAAACAGCGTGCATACGATTCAGCTACAACATGTTCATCCAAGCCGTGCACACCAGCCAAATGACCTCATGTGATCGGCAAGATTAGCTTCGATGATACTAATCTTGAACGGTGGATCTTACCCCATGATGATGCCCTTGTCATTGAGTTGCACATGAACCGATTCATCGTCAAACGTGTTTTGATTGATCAAGGAAACACCTCAGAGATAATGTACTACAAGACATTCCCTAAGCTCAGTTTCACCGATTCAGACCTCCAGCCAGCAGAATATCCCTTCTTCGACTTTAACGCCAATCTTGAATACCCTATTGGAAAGATCACATTACCAGTGCGCGCAGGCACCAGATCGATTGACATGGAACTTCTGGTTGTCAAGCTTTCATTACCATACAATATAATCATGGGCAGAACCTGGTTGCACGCAATGTAGGCCATACCAAGCACTTACCATCAGCTACTCCGTTTCCCAACACAACACAGCATTGAGCAAATTTGAGGATCTCAGAAGTCGGCAAAGGAATGCTACCTTACGGCCTCGAAAAAAATTCCAAGAGAATTGGAAGTGAACTCGATTCAAGTTTCGAACTGAGAAAGCCTTGAGGATGTTAGACAAACCCCCACAGACAAGTCAACCGAAAATCTCGAATAGATTGGCATCAAAGAGGAGACCAAAAAATTCTTCTTGATTGGCACTAGTCTTGATGCAACTGAGCGACAAAAGCTGGTTTCCTTCTTACTCAACAATGTTGATGTGTTTGCATGGACACCATACGAGATGCTGGGAGTGGACCCCAACATGGCCCAACACCATTTAAATGTCGACCCTAAGGTCAAGCCGATCATTCAGAAGAGTCCCCGATCGGCAACCGAGCATAGTTCGGCCGTGGTCGCCGAAGTTGACAAGCTTTTGGAGGCCGGGGCAATCCGTGAAGTAACTTATCTCACATGGTTGTCCAATACGATGGTGGTAAAGAAGAAAAATGGATCATGGCGTGTATGTGTGGACTTCACTAATTTGAATAAAGCTTGTCCTAAGGACTGCTTCCCTGTGCCCAGAATTGACCAACTAGTAGATGCAACTGCTCATCACCAACACATGAGCTTCTTGGATGCCTACAGAGGATATCACCAAATTGCCATGCATCCGGAAGACCAGGAAAAGACCGGGCATTCCTCACCCCAAGGGGAACCTACTGTTATAAGGTTATGCCCTTCTAGCTAAAAAATGTTGGGGCAACATATCAGAGGCTTGTCATTACTATGTTCAAAGAACAACTCGGCTGTACTATGGAGGTATATATCAACGGCATGGTAGCAAAATCCAAAGAGAAAAATGCTCACCTAGCCAACTTGGCCATAACTTTCGACATTCTCTGGAAGTATAAGATGAAACTCAATGCCTTAAAGTGTGCATTTGGTATTGGGTCTGGTAAATTCCTCGACTATATTGTAAACCATTGTGGGATAGAGGCCGGTCCAAAGTAGATTATAGCTATCATAGAACTCGACTCACCTTAGTCGACTAAAGAAGTTCAGAAATTGATGGGGATGGTGGCAGCACTCAACAGGTTCATCAGCTGTTCTTCAGATCGATGTAGACCATTTTTCCACACACTTCTACAGGGAAAAGCATTCCAATGGACCCCCGAGTGCCAGACCGCTCTTGATGGATTGAAAACTTATCTCCGTTTCGTATCATTCTTGGCAACTCCATCACCAGGTGATCCGCTTAATTTGTATCTTGCAATATCGGATAGGGTGGTCAGCGCCATATTGTTGAAAAAGGAACTCGGCAAACAAAAGCCCATTTTTTACATCAGCAAAGTGATGGTGGATGTCGAAACACGGTACATTCCATTAGAAAAGCTCATCTTGGCTTTTATGGTGGCTATCAAGAAATTGATGCACATTTCCAAGCCCATACCATAAAGGTACTAACGGACTATCCTCTCCGATCAGTACTTTGTAATGAAAAATCATTAGGTAGGGTCTCAAAATGGGCTTTAGAACCTGGCCAGTGCAACATTTTGTTTTCGCTTAGAACGACTATCAAAGGACAAGTATTAGCCGACTTTATTGTCGAGTTTACTAGATGCCATGCTGACTTAAAGCCTGAACAGCTAGCCCTCTGGCGTCAACAAGAGTGGAGAATGTATGTCGGGGATATTTGGCAGATGTACTATGATGGATCATCAAACCAGCGTCGCAGCGGGGTAGGAGTAGTAATTATGATCCCCGAAGGCGCAATAATCGGGTAGGCAGTCAAAATTGGTTTCGATGCGTCCAATAATGAGGCCGAATATGAAGCACTATTAGTTGGCCTCTGTAACGCACTTCACTTGGGCGCCAAAAGATTACAAGTTTTCTGTGACTCAAAATTGGTCATCAATCAATTGAAAGGAGAGTATGCGGCCAAAAATAACCGAATGGTAGGACCTATGAAAAAGGCAAATTCTTTGCTAATAAAGTTTGACCACCACGTGCTGAGCTAGATTACCCGTGATCAGAATACTCATGCTGATGCCCTTGCTTGTTTGGCTTCTGCTATTAATTCGGAAATAAAGTGAACCATCGAAATGAGATTCATCTCAGAGCCGAGTATCAATGCCCATGAGCCCGTTCACATCAACATCATTGACTCAAGATCGAGTTGGATGGATCCCATCACCGTGTTTCTTTCCTCCGAACAACTCCAGGCGGATAAGAAAGAAGCCCACAAGCTGCAGAATAAGGCCCTTTGATACTATCTTGCACAAGTCAATGTAATGCTCTCACTTTTCACACTCTGTTCGCTGCTCACTCTTTTACTGCTGAATGCCCCTTCGTGGTTCGAGCGATGTCTATTTAAAGAGGCCGTGGGCCCCATAAATGCCTATTGACCCTATTTAAAGATGCAACGATTACGACGCGCCCGTGGCCTTCTCCTCCTCCATATTTGTTCGGCGTCCACCCTACGTGTTCAACTGGGGCAAGGGAAGATATATGAATCAATTTGGTTTGTTTTGTATTCTACGTTATTCGGCATCCATCCTACGTGTTCAATGGGCAAGGACAGATATATGAATCCATTCGGCTTATAAAGGCTTGACCGAATTAAAACACTGCCCTACATGACCACTAAAGTTCCTTAAGCTTGTTTTGTATTCTACGTTATTCGGTATCCACCCTACGTGTTCAACTGGGGCAAGGGCAGATATATGAATCTATTCGACTTATAAAGGCTTGGCCGAATTAAAACACTGCCCCACTTGACCACTGAAGTTCCTTGAGCTTGTTTTGCATTCTACGTTATTCAACGTCCACCCTACGTGTTCAACTGGGGCAAGGGTAGATATATGAATCTATTCAGCTTATAAAGGCTTGGCCGAATTAAAACACTGCAAAACAATGCCCCACTTGACCACTGAATTGCCTTATGATGAACTTGTTTTGATTTATGCCTATTTATTCGGCAACTGGCTTATCGAAGTTTCGACTAGCGTTTATCTCAAGTGCCTTATGTGAACTTGTTTTGATTTATACCTATTTATTTGGCAGCTGCCTTATTGAAGTTTTGGTTATTATTTATTTATTCGACAATCTTTGATCACAAGATATTTTCATCAACAAAACAGGCATAAGCATTAACAGAATGAGCATTTTCATTGATGAACTGAACAAGTACATTAATCACTTTATAAATGAAAACGGCCCTAATACAAAACAAAATTAGAAAAATGACAGAAAATATAAACAAAACAACAAGAGGGGTCCTGGCACTACATGTCTTCTCGGCTTCAAGGCTCCTTCTTAGGGTTCGATTCCAGCGGTTCAACTACCAACTGCTCGTAGGGAATCAACTAATCAAGAGTCACCTTAGCGGCTACCTGAGCTTTGAGCCAGCCATGCTTAAAGCCTCAATTCTCAAACTTCAAGGCTTCATCTACATACAGCTCCTTGGCCGCAAGCTCTCTGGCAACAAATGCTTTGGACGCGTCTGCCTTAGCGAGCTCCTTCGCCTTCTTTGTCTCCTCGAGGTTGAAATTTAGTTTTGTGATCTCTTCTTTGGCCAACTTCAGGGTGCCGTCTGTCAGGTTTTCCCTTTCTTTAGTGGCCCTCCGAAGCAGATCAGCGTGTTTGGCTTTTCTTCTTCGGCAGTAGCCCTCGCTTGCTCTTCTTCTGCCCTCTTGGCTTCAACCTCGACCCTCATTGTCACCACTGCCAAGTCAGCTATAGCTGCTGTGGCCTTAATTTTCTCCTCTTCAACTTGAGCATTGAGAATGCTGAGTTTCTCTACAGCATTGCAATATCGCCGTCTAACAAAAACAATGAAGACACGTTAGTCGGCATGGAAATTGAAAATTTGTTTTAGCAAAGTGTTACTTACCAGTATAGCTGACTGAGTTGCCAAAGAAATTGAAGCCACATCCGGCTCAGCTCGGAATGTAGCCTTGTCTGCTGCAAAAGAGAGCGCTGGGGCCACAGTAAGAGCCATGTCAGGATTTTTGATGGTTGACCCACTGCTGGGAACCAATGCACTCTTCATCCTTGGCTGGATGATGAATGGCCTGATCAAATCAGACAAAGGCGCTGCCACTCGGGGCCGTTTATCGATCGGTTCCTTTGACAACTCGGCAATGGTCTCGGCGAGACATTTCTTCCCTCTTTGTTCGGCTCTTGAGACTTTAGTTTGCTGTTGGTCAGTAGCCGAATCGGCCACAACAATTTCACGGGTCATTTCTTCTAGAACAACAAACAGAGGGGGAGCTTCTTGGCTCTCCCCAACACTATCGGCTCTCTTCCTTGCCTCTAACTTTTTGGCATTTCTTCTTCTCATAAATTGGGCAAGGGATTCTCTGCCCGTCTCCTCATATTTGGCCGTAAGTAAATCTTCCAAATCAACAAAGATGTCTTTCTCTGGGAAAGCTAAAGCTACTCAGTCAGAAGTGGAGAGAAGGACAGTGTGATGGTCAGGGCTGATTTGCTCAAAGGCCAATTCGATCTACCTGTTAAGCTCCTGCTCCTCTAAACGACTTTCTAATCCAACGTCTTCGCCGAGCATGTTGGACTGACTCGGCTCCTCAACGTCTTCACCACTTTGTTCGCTAACATCTGAACCCTCAAGACCAATATCCCTTAAGCTCTTGAAGTTAGGGAATATAAGTGCAGTAAATTGTCGTTCGGCTCTTGGCACTGGGATGTGGTCTGCAGTTGAGAAAGTGGAATATGTTGGGTTGTACTTCAAAAGAATGTCAGTGGCGTGCCCCTATCCTTGAAGATTTGCACACCTTTTGTATTTGAGGACCGTGTTTACTTGGGCAAGAACGACTTCGTCTGCCAACGTGAGTGCTCTTTCTAAATCGTTGCCTGCACAAAAAGAATGGTCAGCAAATAGAATTTAAGTCGAATGAATCATTTAAACAGAGAACAAGTCTATTCGGCCACTTGGCT